TTCCATCTGATTTCCTGCAGTGCCAATATTTCAACTCCGTATTTTTCAAGTTCTTCTGCCATACTTATCATAGCTCCTGCCTTTAAGAAGGTTCGCACGTTCCGGGTTCTAAATTTTAAATCCATAATCATGTCCATTTTTCTGTGCTGAGTTCGTTGTTATGAGATCCGTCCGTTTGTTTCATTAGCCATTGTATTCGCAACAATTGAGTTCTACAAGGAAGGGTTGTTAACCCTTCGCTCAACCCCCTTTTCATCGGAGGACCAAGGCTCCCTTCTTCGTCTGCCCTGACCCCACCATCCACTGGGGTTGGTTACCCAGTCTCCAGTGGGGTTGCTCAGGTTACCGGTGTGTACCAGCGTGGAGGTGAAGATAGGAATTGAGTAGGAGAGGCTAAGTGATGCCAACAGGATACGACATCATGTATTGCGCTTAACTAGTTTTTCTTAAAACAGTTTTTGGAAAATTTGAATATAAATGGTGGACTACCAGTTTTTTAATAGGTAGGTACTTGGAATTTGGTCCTTAAAGACTCCCATTGACTGAAAGTTTAAAATCGCAAAGGGAAATCTTCTTTTGATATCCACTGTTATATAAGAAATATGTTATATGTTCACATGAATAGTAGCTCAGCATTTGTTCACGTAAGTGTATACCACATTTATTTTTATTATATTAATCAATTAACTCTTTTAAATATCAATCCTCTTCTTGATCTAATTCTAACCCTCTGACAACGAAATTCTGAATATATCATGTATATATCTCGTTTATCTCTGCATTTGGTCACACATATTTCTTCAGGACTGTAAATACTGACCATCTCACGTTGTTTTTAGTTTCTTTGACAAGTAGAGATTGTCTATTCGGTTATTTCTTAATATAGACTATGAGCAATTGTCTAGATTGTCTAGCTTATTGAACACTATTATAGAAGTTTTTAGTGGTCAATCTACGTTTATGTTCACATCTAGCTTTTTTAGATGTCGAAAGCATATTATTTACATCTATTTTTTTTACAAATATAATACAATTTACAAAAACAATTTTATAACTCACTTTTACAGAGGTAATTAACAATAAAAACGTACTAATAGAAACTAATAATTTACGATTTTCAATACTATAAGGGTACTTGAGGAACAATACGTTTTCACGTAATAATAGTTCCTGTATAAGTGAAATTGTATTTTAATGTGCTTTATTGAAGCACACTAGACATATTGCAGTTTTACCATCACATGCTCCACAGTATGTTTTAACTATTTTAACTTTTCTATCGGTCTTTCTACTAGTCATGTTCCTTCTTAAACTTTTGTAATATCTTGTACACTTTCTTCTCTTTTTATTACCTACGTCGCTTTGCCTAAGATGGTATTTTTTGGGTGTAACTGGTCGTGAGCGTTCCAACATTTATTTATTTGCAAATGTCTTCGCGAACACCAATCTGAACTCAATGATAGGTTGTCGCTTTTTCGCCTTTTCTATTATTTAACAACTAAGCATTGGCTACTGCGGTATTAAATATTAATTTCACTGCCACTTTCCGGTACCACTTCAGAATTTTGGATATTGGGTTCTGGTAAGAAGCAATTTGATTACTAAAATCAACACTCTTTTTCACAAGTTATAATCGAGAATAGCTTGTGGTTTTAGCACTTGTGTATAATTTTTCTTTTCACCTGATTAAACCAAGATAAAACTATTATGTTGAAATATTGTAATAATTAAAACTGGTTTTTGTTGACACATTTTTTCACTTGTGAAATCAATAATGGGGGTAAATTTCATTATAAGTAACCGGTTGCCACTTTTTTAATCAAGATTTTGGTTTTACATTTTTTGTAGTAGACCATATGCACATAAATTCGTTTTTTAAACTATGATTATAATTCATCGACCAATATTCTAATAAAAAAGTGTTTTTGCGTCGTCCGGAATGTTATAAACTGGTTCTCTTTCACAAAGCATACGAAATATGGTTTACATTCTACATTTAGAAAAATCTTTTATAATGCAAGTCTTGTTCGTTTACCTAAACTTAATTAATACACAAAAAAAAATAATCTATTGTTTATATAGAAATGCATATTCCTGTCGGATTTGTATCAGTGGGGCATGAGTCACTGGTGTCTCGTATATCAGGACCTCTTATTGCATTACAAACATAGTTCTCAATTAGCAGTGTGGTACAAATTAAAGCCGTAATACTGTTCGTAATACCATAAGACCGTATGTTATAAATAAATATATCCCTACAAGAATTATCTTGAAAAATGGGAAAAATACAATAAAAAAAAGCAATATCAAAAGGTATTTAAAAATGGCTAGTCATTCATGGGCGTACAGTTAAAAACAAAAGTTTTCAGTGTTCTATTGCTTGATTATTATTATCTGGTTGGTATATTTTAAAAATACTAGCTAAGTATTCTGCAAATGTTGACATTTTTTTCTGGTCTGATCTGCCTCAACTAACGTCATTTTTTTTAAATGGTGTATTATTTCATATTCTTAAATGTATATTATATATTTCACGTTCTACGATGCATTCCACGTTTGACACACTGTCTTATTTAATTTTCTGTCATTCTATTTGTTAAATCCTATCCAATTTACGTCACAGCGTCAAGGAGCAGTAAATGTGTGCAGTGAACGGGGGCCATATGTCTAACAGTGAATGTTGGAACTTTTTCGCGTTTATCATATGTACAGTAGTTGACTAAAAGTAGACGTATGCAAATCATATGCTATTCGCTAAATTCTGTCACGTAATATGCCATAGACCTCTGTGGGTTATTACGTTTTATTGCTGCCAGTTTACCGTGATATTACATGCCGCCATGTTTACTTTGTCTCCACCATCGTATTATCTCCATTAAATCTTATCATTTAGGCTCCATATGTCATGATTAGACCTATAGGACAGGAGATACATAACTAAGGCTCTTTTGACATAGCATATATAGGAGCAAATATTTATACCTAAGGTCTTTTTGACGTGTTGCTGTATTTGATCTACGTCGTAGCATTCTATTGGTTAAATGATATCATTTGAGGTACTGTATGTCACGATTGGACTAATAGGATAGAAGATACATAACTAGGCCCTTTCACGATTGGACTAACAGGACCGCGGATGCATAACTAAGGCCCTTTTGACAGGCTGATGTATGCTGTATTTTATTTTTCTGTCTCATAGTATTTGATTGGTTAAATCCTATCATTTGAGGTACTGTACGTCACGATTGTGCCACTACAAACGAAGATATGTAAATAGGGCCCTTTTGACATGTTGCTGTATTTGATTTCTAAGTCATTGTATTCTATTAGTTAAGTGCTACCATTTGCTATATCGTACGTGACGATTGGACTAATAGGACCGAAGATACATAACTAAGGCCCTTTTGACATGCTACTCCATTTAATTTTTATACCTTATTGTATTTTATTAGCTAAAACCTTTCATTTGAGGTGCTGCACGTCATGATTAGAATAATAGACCCGAAGATACACAACTAAGGCCCTTTTGGCATGTTGCTCTATCCGATTTTTCTATTTCATTGTTTTCCATTGGTTAAATCCTATCATTTGAGATACTGTACGTCACGATTGGACTTATAGAAACGAAGATATATAACTAAGGCCTTTTTGACATGCTGCTGTATTTGATTTTTCTGTCTTATTGTATTTTATTGGTTAAATCCTATCATTTGAGATACTGTACGTCACGACTGGACCAATTGGAGCGAAGATACATGATGCCAGAATGATTTATGGATGAAAAAAATATATATATTTTTAAATTTACTATTTCGTTGTGGGTAATATTATATTCAACAGCGATGCCAAATTTCTGATGCTAAAATGATTGATAATGAAAGTTGGATATACATTTTTATGTATATAATGACATCGAGTAAACGGTAAAACCCTGAACTAAATATATATAATATTTTCACCGTACCATCATTTTAGACTCAAACATTTTCTGGAATAAACTTATATAACTCAGTAAGGGATAAAAAGAGAAAGCCGATATTTTAAAATACCAACACGGTATCAAATCTCTAATCAGTGAGATGGTTAAAATTCTTGTAACAAGTACAGAAAAAAAGTTACATAGGTGTTGTAAAGTAGCGTCGATATACAGATGCTACTTTGCAAGACGATGCTAAATTGATGGTAAAAGCATAATGTATCGATGCCAAAATGATAGTAGGATGTATATATATATATATATATATATATATTATATATATATATATATATATATTATTTTTCGTTTTTCTCTTCTTTTGGACAGAAGGTCATCATCGTCAACAACAAAATCATCAGTAATATCCACATCCACATTATTTTCTAATTGTTTTGCCCTATTATGATTTAAAAGCTTTTGTTGTATTTTTTTTGTATTTTTAACATTTTGTTTGCGATTTCTTGATTTGGATATAGATAATCCTTGTAGTAATAAAGCACAATGGTCCATATTTTCAGTTAGTTTTTTTAAATTATTTTTATCTTTGTTCATTTCTTTACTACAACTGTTTGTTACAGCTTTATAATTAGTAGAACTTAGACTCATACCTAATTTCACTTTTGCTTTCATTGCACCAGCTACACCAAGTGCTGTCAACTTTTCTGAAAATGCTGTGTTTTTTGATCGAAACTGCTCAAAAGCTTTTCCAACTAAAATCTTATCATGTTGTTCAGATAGATCTTTATTTTGAGAACATGCAATATCATGTTCACGACACGCCTCATCTAATCCATTTATTCCCCTATATCCTCGTGCTAGCCGTTTCTGTAATTTAGTGCCGGGTCCACAAAATCTATAACCTCCAGGAATGTGCATTTCAAAAGGTAATTTATTAATGGCAGCGTTTAATATATTGTTAGCGTATTCGTACACTGTATACAAATTAATAAATAATTATTCTATATATAAGTCTTTATACATTTTTTCTCCTCAGACAACTGACCTCACATTTCACCAAACATACTACTTGGTATATTTTTAGCTCCAGGTCTGGATCTCAAATATTCTATGTAGTCACAGTTTATACAATTGCTATTAGGTAATTCAGTCTCCCCACCACACTTTGGACATTTATTCTTTAATGGTACAGGCATACTTATTTTTGGAAAAATAGATAATTTGGGTTATTTTTGTCACCACCAAATTGTCGAAATATACTTTTTAAGTAACAATTTGCACAATGTGTATTTGAAATGTCAGTTTCACCACCACACTTTGGACATTTATGTTTTACAGGTACAAGCATATTTATTTTTCTCACTCACAATTTCACTTTCTTGTTGTTGTTGTTGATTCTCAGACAAATAGGAAAAACTTTTTCTACAAAGGCATATTCGGGACTAAATTTTTTGTGATCTTCTATTACATTATCATTTAATTCCCAATTGTTAATTTCTATATCACACTTAAAACACTTTACTATATCTTCCACTTGGAGAAAGTAAATTCGACATGCATCTAACTCTATTTCAGATTTATTACCCTTCCATTTGTTAAAAGTTGAGAGCCTTGAATAGAAATCGTCTAGCTTTAGCATGTACACCTCAAGGCACATCTTGATTACTGACTACCAAGAGGAAGTGTTTAACTATAAAAGCAATTACAATGTCCAGATACCAGATAACCATCCACTGCACAGAGATGCATTAATTTGGGTAAGCTACATTGATCAGGTGACGTTTTCCTATTGGCAAGAAGTGAAAACAAACTTATGGAATGACATAAGCGCTAAATGGAATCTCTCAGATTACAATTTCTACAAGTTTCAAGAGTAAAAACGCAATTGAATAGGCTAGGCTGGGCTAGACAGATACGTCTACACAAGTCTGTACACAAACAATTTATTTTGACTCACCAACACCAACACCTAAACAAACTCTCAATACAAATTAAATGACCCTGTACAAATTTGTCGTAAAGAAGGGGAGATCGAAGAATAAGCGATGAGTTTTGCACTTCACATACAAGGTGGTCTACTTCTGGTTATTGTCCACCGCTTCTTTTACTTCTTTGGGACAGGTAAGACAAAGAAGAGATAGGTAAGACAGGTGTAAAATATACAGGTAACGTGACAATTCTTTGGCTGAGAAGAAAAAATCTAGAGATAAGCTTCCAATTCTTACAACCCTCTGGTCATTGACGATCACTTTTTGTACTTCTTGTATTCCAAGGTCAAAGGTTTGTATCGTCCTCAGCATCGGAGACCCTGATGGACAGGTTACCAAAGTGGGTTTGTACCTTGCTTGCTATACTACTCTCCTCTACACATCCTTTACTTTTCTGTTTATAATTTTGCAAACGCTGTTCTATATTCCTGCTGTTTTCTTCAATGTTTGCTTTGTCTCTTCAATTTTTCGTGACTGAAGTTGCATTAGTTGTAATATTCTATCTATTCCTGATGATTCTTTTCTCTCCCCAACTATTGTAACATTTCCTTCATTATCCCATCCTTCTTCCAAAATTGTTTCATCTTGTCTGTTATCCTCCTTCCTTTTCTGCATTTTGCTTTGTGACAGACATGTTGTTTCTTTTTGTTACTCTTTTTGTCCCCGCCAAATGTGTAATTTTACCACACTCTATATGTTGCAGACACGCCACTTATCTCTCCCCAAATATAATAAATTTTCACGACAAATATCAAAAATACGAATGCCGCCCAGCGATGTTCATTCCCTCTGATGTGCAATGTTTCGAGTACACTCATGATTGCATCAATCGTGCTTTTCCCTTTACAAAAACCAAATTGCCTCCGAGATAAACCACCTGACCTCTCAATCATGTCATCTATGCATACTCGCATCATCCTTTCATAGAGCTTACTGATGCATGAAAGAAGACAGATGGGGCGATACTCTTATAACGAGGAAGGACCTAAGTCAGGCTTTTATAAGTCTTTCAATAATTTTGGATGGGACAGGTAGTAAGGCCATAGGTCTATAGTTGCAGACATTAGATTTATCACCACCCTTATGAAGAGGAACTTTTATGGATAGTCCGTCAGTACTACAGGAATATTTGCTTCTGATACTACTGATTGTTTGGATCAGTTCAGATTTATCAACTAGTCTTATACATAAAGAATGAGTTAGAGACCTTTTTTGGATTGGGAAGATAGGAAATAGCATCATTTTGTGGCAAAATAGCTGGTGTTATATTTTTACTCACATTAATAAAGTATTCATTTATATTTCCAGGATTTGGAAGAAAAAATGTTTTAGCTGTGATAGTTTTATTTCAAAGATCGTTTATTATGGACCAAGTTTCCCCTGCAACATTTTTACAACTTCCCAGACGATTCTGATCGTATATCATTTTAGCTGTTTTGATAAGTTTTAGATAGGCTTCTCTGTACCTATAGATATATTCAGTGACAAAGACAATGGTAGTAAATTTTTTGATGTACAGTAGTGAACGCATGTTCTTGGCTGATATGTGGATATCCTTGATAATCCAGGGTATGTGATGTTTTGACTTAATTGTAATTAATTATACTTTTAATCTTTAAATAACTTTACTAAAGTACATTGACATTGTAACGAAACTATTTTGCCTACCACATGGCGTAAGATTATGGGGTATAAAATTGGGGACTGAAACTAAAGGGGTGGAGATAAGACAAGCAAAATAATCGCTATTTGTGCGAACGGCACTCTGGATTTGGTAGGTAGCTGGGGTCGTAGATAAGTAAAAGATAAGTGGGTTGGATTGGGGCAAATACAAAAAATGAAATAATGGGGTCAGTAATCTCTTGGGATAAACAAAATAAAAATAAACAGGAAACACCTCAAGGAATTTAATATAGGGCGCCACTTGAGGTGCCTAATTATACCTATTACAAGCACTAGCTGTAAGTAGGGAAATAATTATAAAACATCAAAAACATATCTTTTTCAAATAGAACTCAAAAAATGGTTAGTTCGAAAAAAATAAAATGTTAAGAAAAAAAAAATTAACATTTATTTTTGTGTTACCAAGAACAGTTACAACATGGAGAAATACAAGAATACAAAAACTTACGTGTGTCATCCGCTTACAAACTCACAAACTCAACAAAAGGAGTTGGAGATACTACATAAAATTTACAAATGTTACCGCATTACAATTTTTAAATGTTACAATTTCTAAATTTTAACGATAGCAATTATTGTTCTAAAAAAATATCTGTCTTTACTTTAAAATTAAACAATTAATAAACAGTTACCTAGATTCACATATTTCCACTTAACGAAAAAAAAAAACTTGTTACAACTCTGGAGTATCTATCCGGACATTATCAGCGAAGAGCTTTATCCATTGAAGGCTGGAACTAGCACAATTGGAAAAAAGGGAATTCTCAACAAAAAAAAACAGGAACTAAACTTGTTTAACTTTTTAACAGGAACTAGACTTTTCAAACATCATGAAATATCGAGCGAAAACTCCACTAATTTTGGCAAATTATTGCCGGTCACTTCATAATATATTAAATCCACCACTACTGCTACTTATTTCCCCAAAAGAACCGAAAAACATAAAACTACAAATTCGACAACGAATTCGGATCCATACCTGAGCCTACAGCGACATAAGTAAGAATTTAGATCCTTTTCTGACACTACGACGACCCACGTATGAATTGGATCCATACTTGACACTACGATGACCCAAGTATGAATCGGATCCATACTTAACACTACAACGATCCAAGTATAAATTGGATCCATACTTGACACTACGACGACCCAAGTATGAATGACGAATTTAAAAATTTGTTCATATAACTTGAAAATAAACAAAACGCTAAAATATCAAAACACAACGAAAGGACGTAGATGATTTAATTTGCGACGTATAAAAATTATAACGCGGCTTCGAATAAAACATTCAAAGAAATTGACAAAAAAGTTGTTTGTTTGTGTTTAAATGACTGCGGACACTAAATCCATTCGCCAATCTTACAATTTGAGGTGTAGTGTGTGTGTGTGTGTGTGTGTGTGTGTGTGTGTGTGTGTGTGTGTGTGTGTGTGTGTGTGTGTGTGTGTGTGTGTGTGTGTAGAGTAATTGTCTTGATACTTAGCAAAGTCGACGTCATTGTCTTTGCTAAGAGACGCTAATTGTATCCGAACGTCTGCGGTCCCTCCGGTGTGTACCGATCACACAAGGATAGAAATTATTTTCAATTATTAATTTTTTTAATAAACGAAAATTTCCACCCAGGTGGGATTCGAACTCACGACCTTTAGGTTTAAAGGCAGGCGCTCTTACCACTGAGCCACAGAGGGGGTTAACAAAAAAGTTAAAACAATAAACAACTCTAAAATGGTTTATTTTAACTTGGCCGACCTAAGAAAGAATTGAAAAGATATTTGGATTTTAATACGTACGAAATATTCTCAGATTTATCAAACCTATAGAATGGGATTTTAATATTTTACATATACGAGGGGATCTAAATATAAAATGCTACAACATATATCATGGTTTACTACCTTTATACTAGAATTTTACGGTTATTTCAATGACAATGTTTTGTCTGAGAGATTCGATCGTGGAGATCTGCGGCTGTTCAGTTTTTGGCAAAGCCTTAATGGTTCCATTTAAATTGACACTTTATTATAATATAGTAATGGTTGAATGTAATAATTATTATGAATAAATATTTTTTAGGTTGGAAATCATTAAAATAATATAAACACTTCTAAAACGATCATCAATACTGACCATCATTAAAATTTTAATTCGACCCCTTTTACTTAATTGTAAAATTGTGTATTGCTAATTTATTTTCGTAGATTACATTTAACTTAACAATTTATCGCCAATTATCTACTAAAAACATACGATTATTTTTATTATATATTACTGCTAAAGTCAATTACTTTGTATATTCTTATGCGTAAAAAATTAAAAAAACAGGTTGTACTAGTACTAGTAAAAAGTAGGTATTTTAATTTGTACTTTATTGTTATGATCATTGGAAGAAAAAACAATTTAATTGGATATTTAAAATTTTGACAATAATATCAAACACGCAACAAACTTTTCATATCCTAAAAAAATCCAATGTAATTTTATTATGATTATGTTAGAACCGCAGACGGCTTTGGAAAATCAA